GCTAAAACCAAAGCACTACTCAGAACAAAGGTGTGGTTTCCAGATATTGATCAGAGAGCAGAAGCATCAGTACGCAGCTGTCTTGCATGTCAGGCAAATACCCCAGCTGTACATACTGAGCCATTAAAAATGTCAAGTCTACCAGAAGCACCCTGGCACAGCATCAGCGCAGACTTTTATGGACCACTACCAACAGGAGAGTACCTGTTAGTCATCATCAGTGTTGGGACTAACGCGTTACAAAGTAAGGCGTTACTGTAACGCCGTTATTTTTGGCAGTAACTAGTACTCTAACGCAGTGGTTCCCAAACTTGTTGTGCCCAAGGCACACCAAAGGACAAGTAAAAATCTCAAAGCACACCTATTGTGCAAAATAGCCCTTATAACACGTGTTATCACTCATATCATGTAAAATATCTGTAAATGTGCATAATTATTTACTTATGCCAAATAAAATGTGACAAAGACAACTATATTACTCATGAAATATTTATTAACGAAATATTTCAGAAATTAATTTGAAACTTTATCAAATTAGGCTTCATCAAAGCAGCAACACACTCATTTAAACCAGACAGGTCACACAATAAAAAATGAGGCAAAGGAAACTCAGCAGAAATTCAGCACAGACAACTGTCAATGCAAGGAAGCTGCATTGTCCATGGTCCTGAACTACAAATTATAAATGTAACATTTCAGCAATCAGCATTGAAACATGTGCTATTATAAATATTTTTGCCGACTTACAAATTAGTGAGATACATGTGCCTGTCGGGGCGCACAGAATGTTTTAATCCTTGGTGGCACTGAGGAGAGGGCCACTCGCAAGTCCTGTTCAACAGAGAGCCTTGACCTCCTGTTGTTCTTCATGTAAACCAGAGTATAGAACGCCAACTCCAGAGATGGGGTCGTTACTAATTTTTTTTAATATATTACATATTACTTTAAAAAAAAAGTAATATATTACACTACTTCGTTACTATCTAGATAAAGTAACTCGTTACTTTACTCGCCGAGCACGTACGAACTGCGCATGCGTGAGTGGCAATAACTTTCCTTACCAGCAGGCGGTGGTAGTGTGTATTTGTCATTCAAAACAGGCAACAACCGGAAGACAGAGAAGAAGAACAGACTACGTGATATAAACAAACAACAAATAGCGTGTGCGGTAGCTTCACCTTAGCATGTGTTCTTTGCAGGTGTTTGTTGAGGTTTGACCACGTGGTGTTTCCAGCAGTGGATAACAGCTTCTGGCCTGGACACAGTTTGCACCTCACCGTCACATTCCTGTCTATTCTTCGGACGAACTCAAAATAATAGGCATGCTCCACCCCTCGAAAGTTATCGCTGACTCAGCCATGTTTATGCAGCACTGCACGTGGAGATGTGGACGCGCAAGTCGCGCAGATTACGTACATATAAACCTACTGATATAGTAAATTAAAAAATAATTATTTTTGTGTAGTTGTATATTGCAATAATAACGTATGGTTCTGGTTGTCACAAAATCCCACGGCACACCCGAACTTGCCTCACGGCACACCAGTGTGCCGCGGCACACCGTTTGGGAACCACTGCTCTAACGCATTACTTTTTTAATTCAGTAACTCAGTTACCGTTACTACATGGTGCGTTACTCCGTTACTGCGTTAGTTTTTTTTATATAGTCAACAGCCAGGCGAACAGAGATGAGTAAATGTACTTAGATACTTCCTGTGTCACATGCGGAGATGTGCTGTGGGCATGTTTGTGTTGTATACTAACAAGACTATCATGGCGGCGGCGGAGCTCAAGTCTAGTTTCTCCACCTGGAGATATTCTCACTATTTCACTTTTGTCGAGCACAAAGAAAAGAACGTTTTAGTTAAATGTAAGTTGTGTCCTGGCGGGTCAAAGATCCTATCTACTGCCCAAACCAGTCATTCAAATCTCTTAAAACATCTGCAAAAACAACATGCTGGGACGAAGCTAGTAGCTAAGACCACAGAGACTCAGCCGACGCCACTCCACCTCCACCTAAGCAACAGCGGCTGGATTTTAACCAAGGGACTGCTAGCCAGGGAAAAGTCGATAAAGCCATTGCACGGTATGTTGTAGAACACATGCAGGCTATTGCTACAGTGGAGTCACCCGCTTTCAGGGAGCTAGTTAGCATGATAGCATGTCCAGGCGGCACACGGCATATGGGACGGAAAACTTTTTCCAACTACCTGGAGAAAGAATATACAAAAATGGAAAGCCAGCTAATATTGATGCAATCCAGATTGCATATAATGCATGTCAAGTTGATCAACAGATTGTATTATTCTCCAATGCAATAACAGTACTGAAATGAAGGCTATAAGGGCATTAATGGGAGACATTTTTTCAAGTAACAAAAACGTTACTTTTCACAGTAACGTATTACTTTTGGGTGTAAGTAACTAGTAAAGTAACTGAGTTACTTTTTGACATGAAGTAACTAGTAATGGTAACTAGTTACTGGTTTTCAGTAACTAGCACAACACTGGTCATGATAGATGATTATACACGCGACCCAGTTGTTGAGAGTGTTAGATCAACTTCAGCTAACACAATCATTCCAGTCATGGACAAAGTTTTCTCTATGTTTGGAATCCCCAGAGTGGTAAAAACTGATAATGGCCCCCCATTCAACAGCAGCCAATTCTCTCAGTTTGCAGACTACTTAGGATTTCATCATCGCCGGATCACACCGCTTTGGCCTCAAGCTGAAAAGATTCATGCGCACACTGGGCAAAGCAGTACGTGTGGCAGAAACACAGGGAATTCATTGAAAACAACATTTGAACATATTTCTACGTAAGTACAGATCTACACCTCACAGCACAACAGAGAGCTCACCTGCTGAACTGTTATTCCAACGCAAAGTGTACACAAAGATCCCTTCATTCACTCACACTGCCAACAAGAGCTCAGACTCAGAAGTGAGAGCTAAGGACAAGATGAAATCTCATGCAGACACTCATCGTCATGCTACACCTCACACTTTCACTCCAGGTGACATTGTGCTTCATCGCCAGCCCAAGCATAACAAACTCACCACACCATACAACACTAAACCCTACACTGTGATTAAAGTCAAAGGCTCAATGGTTACAGCGGCAAGAGATGGACATCGCATAGTCAGGAACTGTTCATTCTTCAAGAAGATCGCTGGAGAGCTAATTGACATCCCACCAGATCCAGTCAGTGATGACTCTACTGGCACAACAACACCCAGATATCCCACGAGACACGATAGGCGTCCTCCTGCCTATTTACAGGACTATACATAGTGTATGGACTGCTAAACATGTGAATGATACTCTGGGTATATACAAATGTGTATATTTCCAACTGTTGTTAACTTCAAGAGACTGTTGTGTCCTGGTTAAGACAAGAAGTACGATTTATGTAGGAAACAGTTTTAATTCACTTTCAGTATGCATAATATTGTGTGGATGATGTGTTCAAAGCTAAAATGTGAATGCAAAAGTCTTAAAGATACTGTTACAGCAGAATTGCACTAGTTCCAGATAACTGTTATGTTAAATGCAGTATAGCAGCCAAATGTTTAAAGCTATTAAAAAGAAAAGGGCAATGTGAATGTATTGTGCTCTCAGTATAACTGCGCCCCCTGCTTTTCTACACAGGATATAGATACACTAGCAGTGATGAAGTGCACAGTAAGCATGTATAACGTGTGTGAGCCAGCACTGGTGACTAAACCCTGTTAACGTCCAGCAAGTTGAGTCTTTCATGTCCAATCACAACATGGAAACATTACAACTGCATGAAGAAGATAGCAGGAAATGAGGACAGAACAGCTAAAAAAGACATCTCACACCGTGTCAGATTTTGGTTCTTTTGGGGAGGTCGAGATAAATCATATTGTTTGGTGGATGCAGTTTGAACCAGAGTAGCAGCATGGAGGTCGGATCGTCACCAAAATAAATAAATAAGTGGTCCGAAAAAGGTTAATGACAAAAAAAATACACATAGCCTTCCTCAGGCAGTGTGTTTGTACCGGGGACAGGAGACCCCCCCCTTGATGAGAGACTGTAAGAAATGATCGGGGGATCCCTCCGGAGTGGAGTCATGACGACTGGATCTGAATTATGTTTTTGTATTTGGTGGTTTGTGTCCCAGCTGTTGATCAGCAACTATATATCCATAATCCACCAGTTAAAGGAAATACAACTAATGTGTTGTGTTATATTAGCTGTACAATTGACCACATATGGTGTTCTTAGCTTCCATACCTCCTGTGTTTTACGAGCGACTTATCAAGTCTTGGCAAACGGCATAACACACGATTAAACATGATAGTATATAAAACCATGCTCGTATCTACAACCTATAGAAATGCAAAACAGCGTCAGTTTAGACGTAATTCTGTCCTCCTGCTTACCGCATCATTTATGAGAAAACATTTCTTAACAAGAGAACATCATCGAGGGGTGATCAATAACATTTCCGTATTTATTTATTTCTCCAAGTTATGTTTTTGTGTGCACTGAGGAGTCGCAAACAGGCATTTGTTAAATCATTTTAAGATTGGCTTTAATCAATGTTTGAAAATGAATTCTTCATATGATAAATGAGAGGTAACGTTTTATTGATGGTATTATTTCCACATATTTCTCTCCATTCTTCCTTCTGCCAACGGTGTCGCAGTTTCTCGTCTTTCCCGTTGCTGTGCTTAGTGCGTACGCATGGGTCAGAGTTTGCGTGGAGGACCGCACGTTTTCCCGTCAAGTTTGTATTTTATAAATCGCAAACATTGCGTAGAAACTGGCGCACGCCATCTTTTGAGCGTACGCACCGTTTATAAATGAGGCCCCAGGTGATCAGAAACATAGACTTGAAATAAGGTGTAAAAAGCAGTAGATCAATTATCGGTATTGTAATGCAAAACAATACCCAAATAACTTCAGAACCATACCTAAAAAAATACAATAAAGAAAGAAAAATTGCCGTCACAAAAAAAAAAAAGTTACCTTTGCACAGCAGGAACTGCAGACAGATCTGTAAGAGAAATACAAATAATCATCACGCCTGTACCATGTCAACGGGTCTGAAGTATCATTCTGTGGGGGTTCACTGGGCTGTTGATAAATACCACTAAAAATCATTTGAATTAGGATTTATTTCAATAACTCTGCTTCATTTAATGTTTGAGGTGAGCTCCCTAAAACTTCCACCTAAACCTTTATAATAAAGTGCCGCCAGATTTGGAAACAATAAGTAATTGTGATTATTTTTGTCTGATATTGAAACTGTGACATGATTCATGATACTAGAGGGATGGAACCTTTTTTGCATCATATTTCTCAGTATCATTTAATAAGATATATTTAAAATGATACTGTGGGAAATACTACAACCACAACATTTATATTTTGACATTTTTGACAAATATAAATAAAAGGAATCAAATATTTTCCACACCACATAATTTGGTCACCGTGGAATCAGTTTAAACTACATTATTTGTATCTAATAATATAATAATAATCTTCTTTGCATAAAAAGTCCTTATATGTAGAGTGATCGTTAAAAATAAAAATAAAAATAAATCTGAGCGAAATATAAAATTGGTTAAATATGAATTTAATATGAAATTAATTATACTAAAATGCTTTAATTTTTTTAACTGCTTTGTATTAAATATAGATACTTAATTGTATCTGACGAATTTGTAGGCCAGTCAATCTGCATGCAGTAACACAATCCTTAAACATTACATTTTATATTTAGCCTCTAACACATATTGAGCCTACTTGAATATTGCGATTTCAATTAGCTCCAGATTAGTTGTGCAGCCCTTTTGTTTATGGCAAAATTCATAATTTGACAGTATAGAAGCTTTGAGACAGCACACAAACATGCATGTTGTGAAATCAAACTAACAGAAAATACATGTTTAATTCGTGAACTGAATAAATGAACCATAGATGGTGGTGGGGAGTGCTTTTGCCTTGAAACAAACATCAAGTAGCAAAGGAAAGGAACGGAACGTTATCTCTGATACCTTTTACACAGCAAGCAGGTAGACGGCCATGAGAAGAGAGGGAACTTCACTCTGCAGCAGCAGCAAACCTGAGAACACACACACACACACACACACACACACACACACACACACACACACACACACACACACACACACACACACACACACACACACACACACACACACACACACACACACACACACACACACACACACACACACACACACACACACACACACACACACACACACACACACACACACACACACACACTGAGTGATCCACTGTGAACAGAGCCCAGTGGAGAATGCAGTGAGGGCTCCGCTCTGTTACCCTGCCTCTCTTCAGGTTGTTGTAGAGCTCTTTGCTCTGAAGGAACTTCTCCATCTCTGCTTTCACCAGCACTCTGCGCACGTTGATGACCTCATCCACCGTCAGTGCCAGACTACCCACAGGGTGGCTGAACTCCTCCTGAACACAGCAAGAGAAGAGAGGAGAGCCTGTCAGTTCACTCCACACATTACTCTGTATGACAGTCATGTGACACTGAAATCTCAAAATCACACATTGCCACAACGAGCGTATATGTTATGGTAGTTGTAAGTGAGAACTAAATGAAGCTCGTAGTAAGATAGATTAACATAATATCAATGTTTTGATTCTGATTTGTTTTGAGACTTTCAAAAAATGTATTATTACTGGCATATTAATCTGTCATTTTGGAATGCACATTTTTTTAACCAATATTGCCTATTAAACGATCAACCAGATGAGTAATCTGAAATTTGTTGCGAGTACAGATTTACCATTCAACTTTGCAGTTCCATCAGCTCTAATGAGCGTTTTAGAGTCCTTCAACACATTGTTTTGGTTTTATGGCAACCAAATGTAAAGTTTTGGTAAAACCTCAATACCCTTATCGGCATCTCCAGCTGCACCAGACAGCAGAAAATACATTTGTATTACTTTCACCAGGTGGACACAGACATGACTTCTTATGACTGCTGGGGTTTTTCTATTTCTTCTTGATGTGTAAAAGGGTGTCTCCAACTTAATAAGCTGACGTCATTGTTTTATCAGAAACATGGCTAAACAAATCTATTTTGGCCTCTGACATTGCCTTAAATGGTTTTAATGTGTATCGTACCGAACGGCCTAATAAAGGTGGTGGCGTTGCCATTTATGTTAAGAATAAGTTCAGTGTAACCACATTAGTTTCCAAATCTATCAGTAAGCAATTCGAATTGTTTGCCTTAAATATAGAAGTGGCAAAGGGTCAACAGGTCATGGTAGTGAGTTGTTACAAACCCCCCTCAGCTGTCAAGGACTCCTTGTCTTCGCTAGCAAATCTTTTATCACAACTAGACTACAAGGAAATAGTGCTACTTGGAGATTTTAACTGGGACTGGTTAACTGCAGTGTCAGAGGATTTTAAAAACCTTTGTATCTCTTTAAATGTTACTCAGATTGTGGACAGTCCTACTCGCCCTAACATTAAGTCCCCTAATAAATCCTCCCTAATTGATCTCATTTTAACTAATGTTCCCCATAAATATTCATCTGTGGGAGTATTTGCGAATGATCTGAGTGATCACTGTGTTGTAGCCACAATTAGGGACACTAAGGTCCAAAAGGTTAAACCTCGCATTATCATTAAGAGAGACAAAAAGCATTTTGTGTAGCAGGGTTTTGTGCATGATCTGTTTGGGTTTGATTGGGGTAAAATCGATCTGTGTGCTGATGTAGAAACTGCATGGTCTTATTTTTATCTTGGTTTTATGGAGATCATTGATAGACATGCACCCCTGCGTACATTTAGAGTAAAGGGACGAGACAATCCTTGGTTTTCTGCTAATCTGTCCAGTCTCCTTCATGAGAGAAACAAGGCCTGGGCAAAGGCTAGGAAATCAGGCTCAGAGGTAAAATGGCTGCGTTTTAGGCAGCTAAGGAATAGCTTCACATTGCAAATCAAAAGTGCTAAGTCTAAGTATTATCTGTCAGAAACCACAAAGAACCTGAATAATCCTGGATAATTTTGGAAAGCCATTAAATCGATATCCACCGGTGATATCCGTAATGAGCTACCTCCGTGCATTACCACAGTATCTGGCACTATATCGGACAGGGTTACTATGCTAAATTGCTTTAATGAGCATTTTGTGTCCTGTGGTTCTCTGTTTGATTCTGTCACTAATTCTGCTTCTGTGAACACCACAGTCGGTGACTCTGAAAAACGTGTGTTGGAAAACCCTTTTAGTTTTACCCCTTTTACTGTTGATGTTGTTCGTGAAGCTTTAACCAAGTTAGATCCTAAGAAACCGGCCGGCCCGGACAACGTAGAACCTTTCTTTTTAAAGATAGCTGCAGATTTTATTGCTCTTCCTCTCACTACTCTTTTTAACCTCTCCCTCAGCACAAATGCAATTCCAAAATTGTGGAAGTCAGCATATGTCCTGCCTTTGCTAAAAGGAGGGGAGGCCACCTTATTAAATAACTATAGGCCAATCTCTAAATTGTCAGTTCTGGCGAAGGTGCTTGAACGCCTAGTGAGTGAACAGGTAAAGGTGTTTTTATGTAACAATGACATCCTGTCTAAACATCAGTCAGGCTTCAGAAAACAACACAGCACCATCACTGCCACAATGAAAGTGGTGAATGATGTGGCGAGTATTTTAGATAATAAGCAGAGTTGTGCAGCTCTATTTATTGTCCTTTCCAAAGCGTTTGATACCGTCGATCATCGCATCTTAAAGCAGAGGCTAGCCAGTATAGGCATGTCCAGCCATGCAGTGGCGTGGTTTGTGAACTACCTCTCTGAAAGGTCCCAATGTGTTCACTTTGATGGGCTGTCTTCTGAGTGGTTAAACATTGCTAATGGTGTTCCCCAAGGTTCTGTTTTAGGTCCACTTTTATTCTCCATATATATCAACAGTTTAGGTGAAAATGTGGATGAAGCTACTTTAAATTTGTATGCGGATGATACTGTGATGTACTGTGCAGGTCCCTCCATTAAGGAGGCTGGTGTTAAATTACAGGCTGTTTTTAACATTATTCAGACTCAGCTCTCTGAACTAAAGCTTCTTTTAAATGTTGATAAAACCAAGGTAATGCTCTTTTCTAAAGCTAAAAAGACACCAGAGCCTGTTTTAGATATTGTAACTACGCAAAGAATAAAACTTGAAGTGGTTACCTGTTACAAATACCTTGGTATCTGGCTTGATGATTGTCTCACTTTTAAACTTCATGTCAATAACCTGCTTAAAAAGCTGAGGGTTAGGCTGGGTTTCTTCTACAGGAACAAGTCCTGTTTCTCGCTTGAGGCCAGGAAAGGCTAGTCACTGTGACCTTTTTACCTGTGCTGGACTATGGTGATTTGATGTATATGAATGCACCTGCCAATTGCCTGGTCAAGTTAGATGCTGCGTATCACAGTGCACTGAGATTTGTGACAAACTGTAAAGCATTAACCCATCACTGTACCTTGTATGCAAGGGCTGGTTTGCTTTCACTAACTGTACGGAGGCTCAGTCACTGGTACATTTTTATATACAAAGCCATGTTAGGGAAACTTCCATCTTATATCTGCTCCCTGATCTCACGGAAAATTGTAAGTGGCTACTGCCTAAGATCGCATGCTGTAGTTTTATTAAATGTTCCAACTGCTAGGACTGTCTTAGGGAAGACAGCTTTTAGATGCGCAGCTCCTCTGTCTTGGAATAGTCTGCAAATTAAATGGAAACTGAACAATCTGGTGCCACTAAATGTTTTTAAAGCTCGGTTGGATGCTACTCAATCGGAAGCTATAGGTACCTGTTTATGTGGATAATTATTTAAATGATGCTGTATGATGTCCTTTTGTTGTTCTATTTATGTTTTTATGTTTCATGTGGAACTACTTGAGCAGGTCTCCCTTGAAAAAGAGATCAATGATCTCAATGGGATTTATCTGTCTAAATAAAGGTTTGAAATGAAATGAATAAGGTTTTAAATGCCACTGGGACTTGAGAGGTCAAGCCGTACGTGAGCCCCCCTATACTTTAGGAGGAAAACAAACTATTACAAAACAGAACTTAAAATCAATTTATCAATAAACCAATAAAAAAGAAATACTTAAATAAAAAAAATTCACAAATAATCACTGCTTTGCTCATTTAGAGGAGAAAACATCACAGTATGACTATTAATCTTACTAAATAAGACGATATTAAAGGGTTGTCTTTGAATACTTTTGAAGGCTTTCTTAAATTAAGTGTGTTTCTTTCTGGAATTTGGTATCTCAATGTGTCATCTTATAATGCTATTTCTCACAAAATATTGGAAACAAGTTGATAAGCATTTCATCTGTTTTAAAAAAAATGAGTCTTTATGGACTCAATAATAGTTGAATGGTGCTGCAGTGCTTTGGGCTGACTCACCATCAGCTGCAGCTCGTGTCCCGCTCTGGAGCCGGACGTGCTCTCAGACCCCTCGGTGGTCTCATCCACTGAGCTCAGAGAGAGGCGGGCCGGAGAGGGGGGCACCCAGCCATGAACCGGGAGGGAGGCTTGGGGAGGGAATGAATGAAAAGAGTAAAATATGCGTTAACTAAATAGGACCAAATCAAACAAGGACATGATCAGGCAGCGAATGAGAGGAGGCCACCAATCCCAGTCTGAAGTCCATGAATTACACATCAGCTTCTTTTATTGAGCTACAGAGTGCATGTCCATCGACTCTTACTATCACATGTTTTATTAATGTAGTTTCAGAGAGTGATTCTGCTGAATCTGTAACCCAGATCCCAGTGAGAGGTCTGCTCAGCAGCTGCTCTACAAGAGGAGCTCAGGTAACAAGGGGTGGAAATCAATCAATCAATGTTTATTTATATATCCCAATATCACAAATGTTACATTTGTCTCAGTGGACTTCACAGTTTATACAGAAAATCAGTATGACAATACGACACCCTCTGTCCTTAGACCCTCTGTCCTTAGACCCTCACATCGTACAAGGAAAAACTTCCGGAGAAAACCCACAGTTTAAAGGGAAAAATGGGAGAAACCTCAGGGAGAGCAACAGAGGAGGGATCCCTCTCCCAGGACGGACAGACGTGCAATAGATGCCGTGTGTAAATCGAAGAGATAATACATTTGCAACATAGGTAGTCCAAATGTTTGGAAATGCATGTGTGTATAATAGGAAGATGAATCCACGAGGATATCCATCCAGGACCTATGATCCAGGACCACAGCCACGACTCAAGATCCAGGGCTCGTGATCCAGGACACAGGAACGCAGGATCATCCATGACTCCGGATCCCAGCGTATATAGACACCAAAAAGAAAGACATTTGGGGAAGCTGTGTTAATCGGAACATGAGAGTACACAGGTACAGACAGAGAGAAGGAAGAAGTAAGGTGTCCCCCGACAAACTAAGCCTATATCAGCAAAACTAGGGGCTGAATCTAATCAGCCCTAACTATAAGCTTTATCAAAAAGGAAGGTCTTAAGCGCACATATAAACGGATAGGGTGTCTGTCGCCCGAACACAAACTGGAAGCTGATTCCACAAATGTGGAGCTTGATAAGAAAAGGCTCTGGCTCCCATTGTACTTTTAGAGACTCTAGGAACAACCAACAACCCTGCATTCTTGGAACTTAATGCCCTAGTAGTTCTTTAAGGTAAGATGGCGCCTGCCCATTAAGGGCTTTGTAGGCGAGAATAATAATTTAAAATTCTATCCTGTGTTCTATAGGGAGCCAGTGTAAGGCAGCCAGAACAGGAGTAATGTGGTCCCTTTTCCTAACTCTGGTTAGTACACGAGCTGCAGTATTTTGAATCAGCTGAAGCGACTTGACTGACTTCTTGGTACACCCTGATAATAAAGAGTTACAATAATCCAGCCTTGAAGTAACAAATGCATGGACTAGTTTCTCTGCATCGTTTTGAGGCAAGATATGCCTGATCTTTGCAATGTTACGTAGATGGAAGTAGGCGGTCCTTGAAATTGATTTTATGTGGGCGTTAAAGGATAAATCCTGATCAAATATAACACCAAGATTCCTTACAGTCTCACTGGAGGCCAAATTAATGCCATCCATAGTTAGTATATCTTTAGATAATTTGTTTCGTAGATTATTCGGGCCAAGTACAATAACTTCAGTTTTGGTCATGTTCAACATCAAATAATGTAAGGTCATCCACGTTTTTAAGTCCTTAAGGCAGTCTTGAATTTTATTTAGATGATTAATTTCATCAGGCTTGATTGATAAATATAGTTGAGTATCATCCGCATAACAATGAAAGTTTACAGAATGATTCCTTATAATATTGCCTAACGGAAGCATATATAATGTGAACAAAATAGGTCCGAGCACTGAGCCCTGTGGCACTCCATGGCTAACTTTGGTTTGCGTGGAAGATTCATCGTTGACACACACAAACTGAGAGCGTTCAGATAGATAGGACCTAAACCAGCCTAAAGCAGTTCCCTTAATGCCAACTAAGTGCTCTAGTCTTTGCAATAGGATATCATGATCGATAGTATCAAATGCAGCACTGAGATCGAGCAAAACAAGAATAGAGACACGTCCCTTGTCAGAGGCTATTAGAATGTCATTTGTGACTTTAACCAGAGCTGTCTCTGTGCTATGATGTGTTCTAAAGCCAGACTGAAAATCTTCAAATAAATCATTGTTTTTTAAGTAATCACACAACTGTTTTGCGACTGCTTTCTCAAGAATTTTTGAGAGGAACGGAAGATTAGAAATAGGTCTATAGTTGGCTAAAACCTCTGGATCGAGGTTGTGCTTTTTAAGAAGCGGTTTTATCACTGCTACTTTGAATGATTGTGGAACATAGCCTGATAATAAAGACATATTCATAATATGTAATAAAGAAGTGCTAATTAATGGAAAAACTTCCTTCAACAGCTTAGTTGGAATTGGGTCTAACATGCACGTTGATGGTTTAGAAGAAAGAATCATTGAATTTAATTGTTCAAGGTTTATGGCTGAAAAGCATTCTAGTTTACTATCTAGTGTAATATTAGAACTTAGGTTTCCGGGAGCTGTTGATAACACTATACTGGTCAAAGGCAAGATGTCATTAATTTTGTTTCTAAGAGTAACAATTTTATCGTTAAAAAAGCACATACAATCATTACTACTGAGTGCTATGGGAATAGAAGGCTCAATCGAGCTATGGCTCTCTGTCAGCCTGGCTACAGTGCTGAAAAGAAATCTTGCATTATTCTTATTCTCATCTATTAATGAAGAGTAGTAGCTGCTCTCGCTTTACGCAGTGCTTCTTATATTCATTGAGAGTAATATGCCAAATTAAACGAGATTCTTCAAGTTTAGTGGAACGCCATATCCTTTCAAGTTGTCTCGACTTTTGCTTTATTTTGCGGGTTTCGGCATTATGCCATGGAGCTAGTCTATGTTGTTTTATTTTCTTCTTTTTCAAAGGAGCAACAGAGTCTAATTTTATTTGCAGCGCATCTGTAGCACTATCAACAACATGATCAATTTGGGGTGGTGTACATTTTGTATACGTTTCCTCCCCTACATGCAGACATGCTATCGAGTTAAGTATTGATGGAATCTCTTCCTTAAATTTGGCTATAGCACTAACAGATAGGTTTCTGCTGCAGGAGCTTTTGACTAATGCTTTGTAGTCTAGTAACAGTACTTCAAAAGTTACTAAGCAATGGTCGGATAAAGCAGGATTATGCGGTTCGACTAATAGTGGCTCAATTTCAATACCATAAGTCAGAACAAGGTCGAGAGTGTGATTATAGCAGTGGGTTGGTTTATTTACACTCTGACGGAAACCAACAGAATCTAATATATAGTTAAATGCAACAGTAAGGCTATTTTTATCGTCGTCAACATGAATATTAAAGTCACCTACGATAATGACTTTATCTGTTTTAAGTACCAAAGTTGATAGAAACTCAGAGAATTCTGATAATAATTCTGAATAAGGAGCTGGTGCACGGTACACTGTAACAAATAAGATTGGCTGCAAAGTTTTCCAGGTCGGATGCGTAAGACTAAAAACAAGGCTTTCAAAGGAGGTATCATTTAATTTTGGTTTAGTATTGATAAGTAAACTTGAGTCAAAGATTGCTGAAACTCCACCTCTGTGTCTCGAGCAATATGAGTATTGATATGGCTGGGTGGAGTGGCCTCAGTTATGCTGACATATTCTTCATGTCTCAACCAAGTTTCAGTGAGACAGCATATATCAATATTATAATCTGATCATTTATCAATATTGCTTTAGATGCTAAAGATCTTATGTTTAATAGTCCACATTTAATATTCCTGTTTTGTTGCACAGTAGTAGTTGTTACATTTACTTTTATTAGGTTATTATGTATGACACCTCTATTAGGTTTTACCTTAAATTGTCCTTGGGCAGACACACACACCGTTAATATTGGGTATTTTATTGGGTTCGGGATTCCTATGGATGACTGCCTAGGAGAGAGCGCAGAGAAGCGTGTAAGACTGTAACTCCGCCTCCCGGTCTCAACTCCAGTTTGTCATGGATTACGTCCACAAAGCCCTGAAATGTTTGCCGAAATGAGATTTGCACCTTCCAAAGTAGGATGAATCAGACCAAGTTTTCCCCAGAAGGCTGTCCAATTATTTAGAATCAGAATTCCTTCATTAGTCCTGCAGCGGTACAGACGTATCCCTCGGACCCCCCACAGCTGAAGCCTGGTCCCTCCTACTAAGGGTAGGTTTCAATGTGGCTCTAATGGAAAGCAAACAGGCTGGAGGAGGGCTGGTAACGCAAGGCAAGGCAAGTTTATTTATATAGCACTTTTCAACACAAGGCAATTCAAGTGCTTTACAAAAAATGAAAGACATTAATAAAATGGCATTTAAAATCAGTCATTAAAAAGAAAAGCTAATCAAATAAACATTAAAAGAAAAAATACATGGATAAAAGTTACAGTGCAGTCTAAGATGGGAATAGTTCAATTAAAAGCAGCGACAAAAAGAAAAGTCTTCAGCCTGGATTTAAAAGTAGTCAGAGTTGCAGCGGACCTGCAGGTTTCTGGGAGTTTGTTCCAGATATTTGGAGCATAATAACTGAATGCTGATTTACCATGTTTAGTTCTGACTCTGGGGACAGAAAGCTGACCAGTCCCTGAAGACCTGAGAGATCTGGATGGTTCATAATTCAGAAATGTATTTTGGGCCTAAACCATTCAGTGCTTTATAAACCAGCAGCAGTATTTTTGAAATCTATTCTTTGACACACAGGAAGCCAGTGTAAAGACTTCAGAACAGGAGTGATGTGATCCACTTTCTTAGTGTTAGTGAGGACTCGAGCAGCAGCGTTCTGAATCAGCTGCAGCTTTCTAATAGATTTTTTAGTGAGACCTGTGAAGACACCATTGCAGTAGTCGAGTCTACTGAAGATAAAAGCATGGACAAGTTTTTCCAAATCCTGCTGTGACATTAGTCTTTTAATCCTAGATATATTCTTTAGGTGATAGTAGGCTGATTTAGTAACTGTTTTAATGTGACTGTTGAAACTCAGG